GGCACACTAGTGTGCCACGGCACAGTGGTTGAAAAACACTGTTCTAGTCGAACCCCCTATACCATTTCAGACAAATGGTTATCCAATCTCTTCTTAAAAGTTCTGAAGTTAGAACTGAAGAAGCTTCTTGGATGAGCATCGAAAGGTTTTAAAGGGGGGAAAAAGAAACCAAGAAAGTCCAGGTTTTATTTGGGTCTTTTAAAAGCCCTTTTGGGAATCGGGATGAGGTTGTTTTCTGCCTTCTCAAAGCCACCTGCTCGCAACGAAGGACCCACCTGCCTACCTGGCATCTCCAGATCCGCTCCCAGCGCCGGCGGCCACGAAGCTCGGGGCCACGATTTCGGGCTTGACTTTGGGAGCCAGGCGAAGAGGAAGAGGAGGAGGAGGAGGAGGAGGAGGCTGAAATCTCGCTTGGCCAAAGAAAAAAGCGGCCCTTTTCAGCTGCCAACCGGGCAGCCTCGGGAGCTCCTTAGGGAGACGGGTCATCCAGGGCGGGAGCTCCCGGCGCCGAGCCCGGCTGCGGGAAACCCCAACGGACCATCGCGACTTCCCTCCGGCTTTCCCGGGAGACCCGAGGGGAACCCCAAAGCGAGCAAAGGCCGAGGGACCCAAAGCGCACTCAAAAGACCCGCGGCGATTCCAAAAAGTCGCCCGAGAAACTTGGCCAGGGAAGCTCCGCGGAAGCTCCGATGCCCGCAGAAGCGCAGCCCGGCCAGCGCAGAGCCGGGATCGACTTCGGAAACTCGCAGCGGCCGCGCGCGATCCGGCCCCGACGGGTTGTGTAACTCCGCGAACCGCGGCTGGAATTCAGCCCTCCCTCCCTCCCTCCCTCTTCCCTTCCCTTCTTCCCTCCCATCCGAGGTATCCCCGCCCGGGCAGGGGAAGCGCGGGCGCGCGGGCGGGCGGGGGAGCGCGCACTGGCAGACTCGCTTGCGCGGCATCCTGCGGGGGCTGCGGGGCGCGTGGAGAGGTTGGTGCGCCCCCCGGCCGGGCCTGGAGAGTCTGGGAGGGAAGAAGGGGGGGGGGGCGCTGATGCTGCTGGAGTCGGGGAGGGGGGCGCGTCCTTCGGGCTTGCGGGGGCGCGCGAGCGCGTTCCCGTCTGCGCTGGGGAGCCTGGCACGGAAAGTAGGTCAGCTCCTCGGCGAGCTAGAGGGAGCCCGGGAGGCGCGCAGGGGAGGGGGCGTCTTGGCGGAGGAGACGGGGGGGGGGCTTCCATCGGGGACCCCCGCCATGCAGGGAAAGGGAAAGGGCAGGTGGGCTTGCCGTGCTGGGGTCTCGAGCCGCTCCTGAATGCGGAGTGATGCTCTCCAACTCTGGGCTCTCCCCAGCTTTTCAAAACACCGCTACTTACTATCATCTTTCTTTCTTTCTTTCTCTTCTTCTTCTTCTTCTTCTTCTTCTTCTTCTTCTTCTTCTTCTTCTTCTTCTTCTTCTTCTTCTTCTTCTTCTTC